AACGCTCTTGCTTAGCAACCAAAATGTTGGCTCAGAAACTCTGGCATTTGAAGCATGCAATCTTAAAGCTGTCAAGTTACAAGACCCTTGCACCCTAACTCTTTTGAAAAAAAAACCAGGGTTGTTCAAACTTGGCAGCTTTAACACTTGTGGACTTCAACTCCCAGAATTCCTCCTCCACCTGTGATTTCCATGGGCCCACTACTGGTTCGGGCAAACCAGTCTGAACTAGTAGAATACCACCTCTGCCTGGTACCCTAATTAAGCTAGTGAACAGCCCTTTCTATCAGAAAGAGTTATCTAGATATTTTCCTCAAATTTGATTAGTTAGCTTTATTTAGAGGAAGACAGAGATAGGGAGGCTCAGCTTTACTATGTGAGTAAGCCTGAAGTAATGGGCTTGCTCTTAGACTACACAAAATGTCTAATGTGCATGCATGTTATCACTGTTGCTTATATAATATATGTGTTAGACATTTTGTTTTTAAAAATGAGACACAATCCATCATATGAATCATTCCAAAAAGAGGTCAATGTTGCCTGGCAACAAGGCAGACCCAGACATATTAGACAAAAGAAAGTGTTCAATGGGTGATGAAGAAAAAAAACATTTTTTGGAAGCTCAACAACTGATTGAGCTGGACTTGGCAAGCTTAATTGTACACATTACTTACATATTACTAACTCTGTCTTAAATCCCACTGGGTAAACTGGCTGAAACTCCCAGTCTCAAAGCACACTTAGAACTTCTAGTCCTGTGTAGTCTCCATGAAATTCCATAACCATCTACTCCTGTTTAATGGGCAAGATCAATGAGAGAATGCTAGCCTAGCCTCTTCTCCTCCCATCCTGGTTGCCCCTTCCTTCCTAGTGTCAATGATTTAGGAGAAAACCCCACTCTTTTCCTTTGTTAAATAAGTTACTTGTTTTAACCTGGCTGAATGTCAGTATGGCATGTCAATTCACACTCTTTTGATTTTGTTCCCTTAGTCTAGTTCAGAGATTGTAGTGGTGAATTTCAAGTGTCATGGATGATCATCTTAGATGGATCAGTGTTCTGGATGGAAGAGCCTGGCTTTGGGGAGGTCTCATCCAAAATAATACACTGGCAAAAATAATCTAGCCTATTGGAGACTTGAAATTCGATTTTAGTCATAGCTGTAAATTATTTAAAACTGTATTATTCAGATATGTTTCACATGCCACTTTAATTGTACACTGGAGATATGTCAAGCCCTCCTATCCAAAAAGCAAGATTTTCATGCAGAATCTTGGAACTTGGATATTTATGTGTTTTGTCACTTTAAAAAAAATCACTGATTGCATTCAAATAGTCCTCCTTGATGCCTTTAATCTTTGTAATCTCTTTTCATTTAGGCAGAAACTGAGACACAAACAGAATATATCTTCTTGTTCTGGAGCCTTCTTCAAGCATCCATTTTCATTCCTGGGCTCAGAGGATTTCACTACATTTTATTTGAAGGGAAAGAATGTCTGGACAATTGTCCAGCTTGCAAGCACCATAAATGCATAAGGTTGGCTGCTGTGCAAAACAAAAAAAGAAACCAACAACATCAACAACAAAACAAAAATCCAAAACAGTACTTAGAGGGGCTTTAGCCTGATTCAGACAGTATGTTGTCATGTTATTGGGGTCAGATTCCAGCCTATTGCGATAATTAAAACTGCTGACCTTCAACAGGTCTGTGGGAAAATAAAGGTACAAGGGGAGCTTCGCTAAATTTCATGCAACCACATCAAAGCTTTATCGCTCTGCTGCATATACCGTACATGACGGGGTGGATGGCTTGATGGTTAAAAATGCTGAACTTGTCAGCTGCAGAACTGACATTTTGGTTTTGAGACCTGAGTGTCATGTGACAGGGTAAGCTCCTGTTACTTACCTGAGCTCCTGCCCATCTAGCAGTTTGAAAGCATGCACATAAAAGTAGATTAATAGATACCACTTTGGTGGGAAGGTAACAACATTCTGTGCAACTTTGGCATATAACCACTTTGGCCACATGACAGCGGAAATTGTCTTTGGATGATGCTGACTCCCTCGGCCAAGAAACAGAGATGCGTACCCTGCTCTAGAGTCAGACACGATTGACAGGGAAACCTTTACCTTTCTACATATGTGTGATCTTCTCCTTTTCCTTCTT